TTAGAATGAGCCGTTTTAGGTAGGCGTGGTTGACTCTTAACTTTTATAAAGAATATCTCTTTGGATTTGAGACTTTAGTCTTTGCAACTTTACAGATCTTCTTTATGCACCAAGAGATTGTAACACTCCAAAGAGAAAGGAAAACTTGAAATTGCATCATTATGACCCCTTTAAAGAATATAATACTTTTGATCAAAAAAAATGATCCAAAGTCACAGAAAACTGATCAAAAATCACAGACTTTTATAAATGATTACAAAAGATTTCTACTGTAAATAAATGCTATACTATTGAACTTTATATTCATCAAATACTCCTGGGAAATAAATGCATCAGAGCTTCCATAAATTAAGCAGCACAACTATTTTAACACTGCTAATAATTTTTAAAATGTTTCTTGAGCACTAAATCAGCATATCAGAATGATTTCCGAATGATCATGAGATGGTGACGATTTCAGTAATGGCTGCTGAAAATTCAGTTCTGCCATCACAGGAATAAATTACATTTAAAATAAAAAAAGAAAAGTTATTTTAACTTGTAATAATAATGACTAATAATACATAGTAAATAATAATACAGTTTTTGTTTTATTTTTTATCAAATAAATGCAGCCTTGGAGAGTACAAAATACTTTTTTCCAAAAACATTTTTTTTAAATTGTACCGACCCAAACTTTTGAGCTGTAGTGCACGTCTAATTTTTTTTTTTTTTAGAAACACACCTCTTTGTAGAGTGAATAGAGGAAGACGGCAGTCTGAACCGTCTTTCCAAGACCCATCTCATCAGCCAGAATGGTGTCTGTGCCCTGAGCCCAAGAAAAACGCAGCCAGTTCAGTCCCTCAAGCTGGTACGGGTGAAGCGTGCCGCCAGTAGAGTCCAGATAATCCGGCTGCCTATCAAACTTTATAGTGGGCTGAAAGTAAGAGACAGGAAGAATATTAGATCATTGTCAGTCAAAAACCTATGAATGTATTTTCTTAAAAACAATGTTTCCAAACAATCTAAATATGCTATTGTGGCCTTGCTTATAATTATATTAATGGTTACACTTGAGAGAACAGGAAATTATGGGGGAAAAAGTGTGAAACATGGCAGAGAAAAGAAGCAGACCTGGTTCAAATTTACACTGAATAAACCATGGCTCGAACCTAAAAGTGTTCAGTTTTAAAATTCTACCCTAGTCAATAAAGTAGACAAAAGTTGAACCAAGCTGTTCTAAGGTTCCTTACATCCACCACAGGATTAGCAGGAGGCCTCTCTGTCTTCCTCACTTTCACCTTCTTCATCTTTTTAACTGGTCTGCCCTCCTCTCCAAGCATCAGCTCCCTGACAAACAGAAAAAAAGAAGATATGCAGATTAACTTACAACTGCACTCAATATTATTTCACACTAGTGTGCATGCGTGTGAAGTGCTGTAGAGGCCTGTGTTCATCTACCTGTGGTTCCAGTAATGTTGTTTAAAGGTCTCATAGTCTGGGATGTCCATGTCTTCAGACTCCCAGGTTGACTGATCATACGGCAAATCTCTCCATTTGATAAGATAGTGAACATTATTCTTCTTATCCACACTGCCAGAGAGAATGAGAGAAATGAATGCCCAAATAGTTCAGCATATGTCATTCTTCAACAGGCTTCGGCATATTAATGTTCTCACCTGTGGTTTAAGACGCGGTGGATGAAGAGCCACTCTAACTTTACTCCAAAGCGCCCATACTGATCCTCTATACGGGCATAAAAGGGATCTTTATTCTTTCTCTTGCAGCTCTTATCCTCGTCTCCCTCCGCACCCATCTCTAAATTGGGGGGCTCCTCCATATCCGTCTTCCGCTGGTAGTTACGGAACATTACCTGACAGTTCAGCTCCAACTGTGACAAGAAAGAAAAAGACATATTAACATTATTAAATGATTTTACTAATAAACACACCCACGGAAACAAAAATGCATGAATTATTGTGCATATATTATGCTTTAGTACATGAATGTGTAACTATTTTTATGTCCTTGCCTTAAAAGAAGGAATACACAATATAATGGAACCACATAACTAGTGTAAGTCAATATTGGAAATTAAATTCTATTTTTACATTTAGATTACTACTGACGGCATGTAATGTTTACTTAAACTTATATGCAAAAACACTAATAATTTAAATCTAATCTTCAGAAAATAAATATAAATTTTTCACACTGTACATTATAATGTAGTGATGCCTAAATTAATTTTAGCACTTAAAACTGTTGATTCATTATTTAACAACATTTATTATTTATTATTTAAACATTTATTGTTTAGTTACTATCACTTATTTAGACAAAAATATATAGAATTTCAATGTTGGTGCATTCCTATTTACAAGAAAGTGTGTTTTTTTATTTGTGCGTCACCTGTAGTTCCTGGACCCATGAACAGTGCCAATAAGACATGTTGCACCACTTCACAAAGAACTCTCTCTCCTTCCGACCAATCATAGGAGGAGGATCCGGAGCATCGGCTGGAAGGTCTGCAGGACGTGGCACGGGCATAGGGGGAGGGGCTTCACCCCAGCGCCAGGCCAGGACTTTCTGGACTTTGCCCTTCAGTGGAAGACTCTGCAAAAACAAAGATATTATATTCCATGTTTTTCAAAATTAAACCATAATATTAAACTAATTTAAATAACGGGATTAATCAATTGTGTTAATCCTACATATTTCAACACTGGCATCTCTGAAAATAAAACCTCAAGATAACCTAATCCAAAGGATAGATTTGGACTGTCACACTATATTATTCCTCTCTCACCAGGCAGCGTGGGCAGATCCACTCTCCGTTGGGGATGTCTGGCAGAGGAGGGTTGAGACAGTGTAAGTGATAGGACGAGGGGCATGTGTCACAGCACAGCAGCTCTCCTCCATCCTTACACACCCGACAAAACTCCATATGATGATCGTCCTCCTCTTCTACCTCTCCATCATCTCTCCTTCCATCATCATTCTCCTCTTCACCCTCAGAACTCTCCTCACGAGCCTCCCATTGAATTCCCTCCTTCTCCTGAGAGAGACATAAATAATGCACAATCAACAGAAACTTCAGTCATTAAATATCAATGGTAGAGAAACAGTGCACATACACACACACACAGAGAATGTAGATTTTACTCGATGAGCCCACAGCAGCTCAAGGAAAGGCCAGACATTTATTCTGATTCATATTTATTATATGTACGTACGCAGTGAGGGCAGCTCCATGTGCCCTCTGGGGCTCTCTCCATGTCAGGATCTAGACACACCATGTGATAGGCTCTCGGACAGGTGTCACACAGAATGATCTCACCACCCTGCTGACACACCTCACAGTAGTCCTGATGATCAGTCTCATAGCCGTCAGCATCCTCATCCACTACGAAAGAGAAGGAGGGTTTATAACAAATGTAAATGGCTGGAAAATGGCCAAAAGGTAGTATAGCGTGTTCATTACAGTATTATGAGTACTCATACTCAAAGAGTATGCTGAGTTGTGCTGTTTTTGACTCACTCTTCTTCTTCTTGGAGCTCTTGGATTTTTTACTCTTGGAGCGGCTGCTCCGACTGTTGGATCCATCACTTATGGAGAAACTGTCAAAATCACTCTCACCATCATCGTCCTCACCGCTCTGAGAGAAGGAACCATGGGTGAAGGGGTGCAAAACAAGCTGGTGATGTTAGCCATAAAAATAAGGAATAATTTTAAATATATATTCACTACTGTTAAACAGTTTGGGGTTGGGAAATGTTTTGAAAGAATTATCCTAATGCTTACCAAAGCAATTATTTATGCATTTATTTGATCAAATACAGTCAAACATAATATAAATGTTTTCTATTTTAATATGTTTTAAAATGTCATTTATTCCTGAGATGACAAAACTGAATTTTCAGCAGCCATTAGCTATTACTCCTGTCTTCAGTGTTTCATGATCCTTTAGGGATCATTCTAATATGCTGATTTGCTGCTCAAGTATCATTTCTTATTTTTATGAATGTTGAAAACTGCTTAACATTTCTCTGGTAACAGTGATACATTTTTTCAGGATTCTTTGATGAACAGAAACTTCAAAAGAACATTTATTTAAAATCTTTTGTAACATAAATTAGCTGTCCTTTTAACTGTTAATTCACTGTCAATTTAATGCATGATTGCTGAATAAAAGCATTAATTTCCTTAAATAAATAAAAAACTTACTCACCCCAAACTGTTGAACAGCAGTATATATATTATATATGTATATACTTTATATAATTAATTACTATAATAGTAATACATTAACTAATAATATTAAATAAATATTAATAATAATATATAATTTAGCTAATTTACAATATGTTGCAGAAATATATGTAAGCAGAATAGATACATACAGATGAACGTTTTCTCTTGAAATTGCCCAGTTTAATCTTGAGTGGAGCCACTTTCTTCGCTTTAGCCTTTTTGTCCTGGGGCTTGGACTTGGTCTTTCTACGTGCATTTGGGCCTAGATCAGATATATAAATGACACAAAAACTTTTTAGTACATAAAAAAAAAAACCATAATAAACTCACCTTTGGGCCCCCTGAAATTCCTTATTTTTTCTTTGTTAATTATTTCTGATCCTGACATTTTAATTTCCAATCAAATCTCATATTTAATCCACATTCCTCTCTCTCTCCTCTGACCTTTGCCCTCTTTGGTCTTGGCTTTTCGCAGGGGGACCGCTGGGGGCTGCTGGGATGGGGGTGGTGCAGCAGGAGCTGCTGTTGATGTGGGTGTGGCCATGGGCGCAGCCCCTCCTCCATCCACTCTGGTCACCATACTCTCCACTGCAGCAGCTACGTTGGCAGCTGCCAGGGCTGCATTGGCACTCGCAGAGCCTCGCATGGGATTATTAGTGCTGAACTCTCGCCATTTAGCCCCCAAAACCATCATCATCTTTGACACAGCGATCTTAGGGTTCTTAGCAGCTATTAAAGGTCTAAACAGGAAGAGGGAAAGAAAAATATTTCAGATGAGTCAACAGAATAAAATAACAATAGGATATTATAAAGATGTTTATATAAGGCGATAATAGAAATGGGACAAAAACAGATCGCTGTTCTACCTGACAAACTGACTGAAAGCTTTGTAATTGGTGAGAGAGTTGTAGTCCTCCTGGGTAAAGGTGTAGTCGATGTCTTTCATTCCCCAGTCTGCTAATAGCTGAGAGGAAGATTTGGGCTCCTGTGAAAGAAGAACAGAGGATGACAGGTGAATAACACTAGAGAATGCAATCCTAAAAATATAACCAGATATATATCATGACATCATGTGACCTGAACTTTTATCCAAATACATACACAAAAGTTACTGCCCCCAAACCTTTGAACAGTAATCAAAGAAAACTTTACTTTTATTCAGCAAAAGTAATTTATAATTAAAATTATAATATTACAAATCATTTCTATTTCAAATAAATGCTGTTCTTTTGAACCTGAAAAAAATGCATCACAGTTTCTGAAAAAAATAAAAAGAGACTTAAAAAAAACATTTAAACATCTTACCAACCCCAAACCTTTGAATGGTAGTGTACCAACAGAAGGAAAATGAAAGATATAAGAAGCACTGATAAAAACTTTACAAACAAAACTGAAAATCTATACTTGTTGTGCCAACAATGTAGACAGTGATAGCATAGACAAGGCTCAATATCGGTATCAGACTTTTCCAGGAACATGTACTTTGTACAAGTACCACTGTTTGTTAAAGCATCACAAGTCACAAAAAATCTAAATAAATAAATAATAATAATAACAACAATATATCTTGTGCACAAATATCTTTCAGGCATGACTAATTGTATTTTGAATCCTGTGCAACTGTATTTTTATTTTTTGTAAATGCAGTGTTTTTATTTATGTATTTGCAGTTATGTGACACTGACGTTTTTAGTTGTCCCAAGGTTTTAATATCAAACCCGGGTTTAACAATGACCACCCATTGGCTAATCCTTACCTGCCCATCATCATCATCATCGTCATCATCTTCCTCCTCGGGCTCTGGATCTTTACGTTTGCTTTTTCCTCCAGATGAGCCACCAGCCTTTTCTCCCGCTGAACCTCCCTTCTTTCTCTCCTTGGAGGAGCTGGATCTCTTTTTCTTCTTCTTGCTTGGAGCATAGTCACTCCCTTCACTCTCAGATCGCATCACTCTGTCCTCCTCATCTTCCTCACCTTCTACCATCTGGATTGCTTCCATGACCTCAGGAGAGCTGACAGGAACATCCTAGACCACAATAACCACCCAAGGAGAGATTATAATATCAGATAAACTCAGGTAACAACCTTTCAGTTCAATGCTTGTTTATATAAACATGTTTAACAGTGACGGTAATGGCAAATGATGATTGATGTGACACTGCGGCATTGAAATCAGACATACAGTGTTTTTGAAAGAAGTTCTTATGCTCACTAAGGCTGCATTCATTTTATCAAAAAATTTAAGTAAAAACAGTAATAGGCTATTGTAAAAATTATTTTCATTCAAAATAACTATTATTTTTTAATCTGAATTTTCAGCAGCCATTACTTCAGTCTTTAGTGTCACATTATTATTGAGAAATCATTCTAATATGCTGATTTGGTGCTCAAGAAACATTTCCTATTATTATCAATGTTGAAAACATTTGTGCTGCTTAAAGTTTTTGTGAAAGCAAAGATACATTTTTTAAATTATTTGATTAATATAAAGTAAAAAAAATGGCACCATTTATTTGTAACAGAAATGTATTGTAACAATGTTAAAGCCTTTACTGTGAATTTTGGCCAATTTAATGCATCATTACTGAATAATGGTCTTTATTTAATTTTTAAAAAAAATGACTGACCCCAAACTTATATCTACAGGTGCAGCTCAATAAATTAGAATGTCATGGAAAAGTTCATTT